CTACTACTACTACTACTACTACTACTACTACTACTACTACTATATATACTATATATATATATATATATATATATATATATATATATATATATATATATATATATATATATATATATATATATATATATATATATATATATATATATATATATATATATATATATATATATATATATATATATATATATATATATATATATAGATATAATATTTATATATATATATATATTATATATATATATATATATATATATATATATATATATATATATATATATATATATTTATTTATGTATTTATTTATTTATTTATTTATTTATTTATATAAATATTAGATATATACCTTGAATGGAAAATGTGCTCTGTGTGCAGTTATATGTTACCTGTTAGTAGTTTGCCTCTTGAATATCCTGTTTTTTTGGCAGGGTTGTCATTGAATCATCGCAATTGGACTTGTGTTCAGAATGCGGTGTCGATCTTTCGATCCGGCGGGGCCCTTCAACCGTTTTTATTCAATTGTTGGCTGCATTTAATTATAGCCACCCAATTTGATAACATGATCTTATTCAAGATACAATCGATTTCGGGTTCAAGATATTGATGCACCCGGCCGTGACGACATTAAACAAATATTCAACTATTCATCCTAATTATTAGTGCGATTTCGTGTTCGGCGGTTACCCAAAGTATTGCTTTGCGAATCTAAAAGCATACTTACTAAGAGCTAAACTGTCGACCGACATCCTCTTTTTATTTATACTCCGAAATTCATTCTTCCTAACGCGTCGCGTATCACAATCAACTCTACATTGATAGAGACACTGCTGATGCATAGGAGTGCTTAAGCTTTGATTAATTACAGACGTACTAGCCTACTAACTAATTCATTTCGTGAGACGTCTTTTAGTATAGACACTGCTGATGCAAAGGAGTGCTTAAGCTTTAATTAATCGCGGACGTACGAACCTCGTAACTAATTCATTTGGTGAGGCGTCTTGTAGTATAGACACTGCTGATGCATAAGAGTGCTTAAGTTTTGATTTATTCTGGACGTACGAGCCTTCTAACTAATTCATTTGGTGAGGCGGCTTGCTATAGATTCAAACAGATCCACACTAAAATTTAACTACCAAAATTATTGTGTACAATCCGTATTGGCTGTGGACCCCCTCAAGCGACAGCGTGACCCATCCACAACAGCAGCGGGTGTCCGCTATCCAAAAAAAAAAAAGAACGTCAGGGTGCACCCAAGTTGTCCTCAATTTCGTATAGCTCTGCTGTGGCCACAACCAACACATCTCCGACTGCCGAGGCTCGCGTTCGCTCGCATTCGAAGTGTACAGCTAGCCCTCTCTGCTCGCTGTCCGGGAGAACACCCGCACCTGATTTTGCACTCCTACATTTGTTCACCCCGAAAATACCCCCTCTTCCCCTTTAAAATGCCCCTTTCTCGACCAGAAATTGACGGATTGTTGACTGGCCTATTCTTTCAGGCGGAGCACTTTGTTGTGCAGAGGGATGAGCGATTCTCGATGGCCCACACTGCGGGACGTCCAAGAGAACACGTGTGAGCATGCGACGCTGTGAGCGACTGTCAGTAGCCGATGTCTCGTATCATATATGCACGCATGCCAGGACTCACCCACCCAAGGTGCGGGTGCAATCGATACTTTGGGGCATATGCTTGGAATGGGGGTCTTAAAATGGGGCAAATATAGACCCAGCCACATATATCCCCCCGTTTGTATGTGGCCACACACAACGGAGAGCACAAACAAACTAAGCGAGACAGGGCACGTGCTTGCTAGAGTGCCAAGGCAACGATACAAGACTCTTCCCAATAGAGCCTAGATCATAGTACACACGACTATATCGTACACACTCTACCCTTGGGAATGCTAATAAAAAGCTGTTTCGTTAAGAGTTTTATGGTTTTAGGGTTCTGATGCGTGTGGGGTGGTAGGGACAACACATTGGTAGTGACTAGTGGCTTTACCCCGGCCATTCCCATGTGAGAATTCTTATGTAGAAGTATCGAACGAAAGCTGGGTTTTAGGGTCTTAGGGTTTAAGGTTCACGAACGAGAGCCGGCAATCTATATCCTCACAAATGCACCACTACACACAATACACAAAAGTTAACCCATCCATGCGAACCTATACACGTGCACGCTAAAAACACAGGCTCGTCTGTATACACTCACGCCTGTCTACGCTAAAGCACCCGCACGTCTGCGCCCACTCACGCCTGCCCCTTGCACACACCTGAGTACACCGACACCTCTCCGCTTCAGCGCAGCGTAGACACTCTTCTCCCACTCCACATCCAGACTGGCCGTGCTTTCGTCCAGGATGGCAATGGCTGGGTTGTGCCACAGCACACGCGCGAGGCACAGACGTTGCTGCTCACCCACAGACAACATCACTTGCCAGTCGGCTATTACGTTCAGACCCCCGACTCGCCGCACAATGCCGGTCAGACCCACCTCACCTGTGTGGTTGTGCATATAAGAGATGAGGTGAATGTGAGTGAGTGAAGGAGTGAGTGAGTGAGTGAGATGGCCCACCTCACCTGTGTGGTTGTGTATATAAGAGATGAGGTGAATGTGAGTGAATGAAGGAGTGAGTGAGTGAGTGAGTGAGTTAGTGTGATGCGGGTAGGGGTGATAGCATGAAGATCTCAGTGTGCCGAGAAAAGAGAACTTGCCATCGAACGGGCTGTGGTGTGTGAATTGTACACCGCTTAGACACAGATAAGCGATTGTGGAGAAGGAATAGATTGACTTACGTGTGCGCAACACACAGAATCAGAGGCTATCTCATATGAAGGCCCAATTAAAGACCACTGTAACTAATAATCTGCGAGCACAGACAAACGTAGCTTCATCGAATAGGCTGTTGCCCATGTCGGGGTAGCGGTGGTCTTCACCTGCACTCCACTGCACAAACACACAGCAAATGAGCACACACACTTCTACACACAGCTAATGTGCAGACATACTTCTACACACAGCCATAGACTCACCCAGCACATCGATGAACACATCATCGGAGTCGTTGCACTCGACATTGACATTCGGATACATCATCTGTTGCTTCAGTGTGAGTTCATAGGCCAAATACGGTCGTTGTGGCAAGAAGAAGACGCCGCCCTTCCCATCAGTCAACGCCGGTGGACGGGAGAAGGATCCATTAGAAGCAGGCCACAGCCCTCTGTGTTAGGATTTTAGGGTTAAGCCTGTGGTCTAGGATTTTAGGGTCAAGCCTCTGTTGTAGGGTTTAGGGTTAAGCCTGTGGTCTAGGGTTTTAGGGTTAAGCCTCTGTTCGAAGGAGAGCAACACGGGCTAATCCCAATCAAACTATACTGCTACTACTTCCCATGCGAAACCACTCAACGTAACAACACCCCAGAGCCTTTCGTATGTCACACTTAAGGTACACAGATGTGTTAAAGACACACCTTAGTACACGCAGCAGCGACGTTTTGCCACCCCCAGAAGCACCCATTACCAGCAAGCTATCACCTTGTTTCAGTACGAATGAAAGACTCGTGACCAACACATCTCCAGCGGGTGACGTGATCTGTGGTGAATGCATTGAGATCATGATAGCGTGGCTCAATGTGTGTGTATGTACAGGAGTGTATGTTGTGTATACATGTACACATGTATGCGGATATATGAGAAGTAGGTATGGGTGGGTGATCTGGAAACGTACCGGGATTGGTTGGAAATGTAATACTAGCTACGCATGAAAATACAACACATATAAAATACATTTACATACACATGCAACACATATAACATACATTTACATACACATACAACACATATAACATACATTTACATACACATACAACACATATAACATACATTTACATACACATACATTAATAATATATAATAGAAGTGCATAACGATGGTTTATTCAGATACTTCTAGCTGCATATAAATATACCTAACACATATCACATACACATGCAGAATACACGTGTCAGACATACATGTACCCACACCTCACCATGACACACACATTGTGTAACTACACGCACCCACCCACCTGTAACTTATCGGTCTGCAACTCCTGAGCATCAGAGACAGAGAATGAGCTCGTATTCAGCAGTGCTTCGTCCCTGGACCCACCCGCAGACGATTGGTGTCCGTTGCTGCGCTTCTCCTTCTCGGCTAAGAGTGCCTTGTGCAGCTCAGACACACGCATGACAAAGGCTACGAAGTCCGAGGTTTGTGTGGACATCTACGCCGGGGGGTGGGGTGGGTGAGAGGTAATATGGGTGAGTGTGTGTGAGTATATGGGAAGTGTTCTGTTGATAGGGAGTGAGAGTGAGTGAGAGTGGTAGAGTGAGAGTGTGCGTGAGCGTGTAAGAGTACCTGGAAAGTGTTCTGTTGATAGGGAGTGAGAGTGAGTGAGTGTGAGGACGTGGAAATTATTCTGATGGTAGGATGATCATCGTGTACGCGCATACAGCTTTTCAACATCGGAAGCGAAGGTATATCTGCAGGCCATGTACCTTCACGTACTCATACTCAAATACATGCACATACACGTACGTGCACACGGCGAAAGTGATAGCTACGAAATACCTTGCATATGGATGACTCGGAAATTCTGGAGGCACATGTGCACTGTCAGGTAATTGCAGACACTTACGAATCTCAACACTTTGGAACATACATGACACCCAGAAGGTATAGAAGAGGTGTTAGAGGATGACTAGGACCATGCCATATAGATGGGCATATAGTACTACACATTCACGTGTATAATATTTACATACATCAAACCCATACACACACGTTTATATATATATATATATATATATACATATAGACACATGTACACGTATATAAAAACATATATATTTACGTACCTGGATAAGTATCGTAAAGCCAAACAGCAGCGAAATGAAACTTCCGGATGTCTGGGCAATCCACTGCGCACGCTCACTCTCGGGTGTGAAATTCCACGCTAAGCCAGAGAACACGGCAATACCCAGCGAGACATACATGATCAGTGTAGTTAAGTAGCCGAATGCAAACTCAACGGAGTTCAGGTACACCTGTGTGGAGGTAGACGGTATGTTGGGTGTGTGTGTTGTGATGAGAGAGGGCATCGGCAACCATGCCTGTACTTGTGTATGTCTTATATGCAGTGAAATAAACTCGGTTGATGTGCATCGGAATAAACCGGGTCGAGGTGCACGTAAACGTGTTCGTTGTGTGTGTACATGAATCGGCTCGGGCGTTCGTACACAGTCTAGTGGCTTAAAGTACACAGTCTAGTGGCTTAAAGTACACACTCTTGTCACACACACGCCCGTGAATGCACATACATGGGTTAGTATAGGGCTATTACCAACAAAGTGATCTACCATCCTCCTATACACACATGGGTGTGTAGCTAACACACGCATATGTAGATACTTGCACATGTATGCCTATGCAGCTACATACGTGAGTGAAAAGCAATCAATATATAAACACACACAAACACACACATATATATATATATACATACATATACATACACACACACACACATATATATATATACCCATACAATATACCATGTGACGATAGACCGTGTCCATACCTGGCGAGTGATGATCTTTTTGGTGTTGTCCACACAGTGGTCGAGCGTCTTCTTCACAGAGTTGCGCTCGTGACCGCCTGTGCCAAGGAATGCGATGTCTTCTGCGCGTGTACGCACCGTCACATGCAAAAACCGGAACAGCGCTTCAAATCTAGTGACACACACGTGAGTTGATGATGAGAATAGTGCAGAGGTTCTGGTCTACTTACGCAGCACTAGTTGACCATCTATTTTTCCATCTGTCTTACCTTATATGCATGTACACGGATGTGCACGTCTTGTGTAGATAAAAATAGACAACCGAGCATACACAACACTGTGTTTGCTAACACACACACACACATATATATATATATATATATATACATGCCGCTAGGTAAGTGCGCACACACAGTGCTATGTGTAAATTCCTGAATACCCCCCCCTTCCCTTACACAGACACATACCGTTCTTGACGGAACACCCAGGGAGCCACAACATTAATCAGCAGCACACTGAACACCGCCATGAGAGCAGACCATCCATAAGCCATCACCAGCCCATACCAGCCCGCTCTCTGAGCTGTTTGGACTGAGTACCACAGGATGTTACCAAACCCCTCGTACAGACCACCCGACCCAGCCGAGCCTCCTGCAAGGGACAGGCGACGATGGGGGGGGGAAGAGGAAGGGTTAGGAAGACACGACACGACAAGAGAGAGAGGGAGAAAGATAGATAGAAAGAGAGAGAGAGGGAGAGAGATAGATAGAAAGAGAGAGAGAGGGAGAGAGATAAATAGAGAGAGAGACAGGGGGCGATGAGAGTGAAGTGCGAACGGATATGAATAAGATACGAAGAAAGCGTACGAGTGCAATAAGGTGTGAAGGCTACGATACTGTCTGCGAGGGATGACGGGATCTATAAATATAAACAAAACACAAAAAAACAACGAATCACACTTGAACAGTACCCAATATCTTGGAAAACTCGGTAGTCACGCCCTTGATGTCGGTCACAATACGCTGATCAGGGTTGTCCACCTGAAAGGGGGCGCAGAGTTAAACGTAGTAGTGATAGTCAGCGTTAAACGTAGTAGTAATAGCCAGAGTTAAACGTAGTAGTGATAGTCAGCGTTAAACGTTGTAGTAAAAGTCAGAGTTAAGCGTAGTAGTGATAGTCAGCGTTAAACGTAGTAATGATAGTCAGCGTTAAACGTAGTTGTGATTGTCGGCGTTAAACGCAGTAGTAATAGTCAGAGTTAAACGTAGTAGTGATGGTCAGCGTTAAACGTAGTAGTAATAGTCAGAGTTAAACATAGTAGTAATAGTATGAGTGCACGCACACCCATCGCACAGACGCTGAATTCAGCTGTATCATGAGCGTACACAAAAGCATCTCAGAGTCGTTTGTTGCATTGTCTGGTCTGTATGTACGCGTTTGATGGAAGTATCACACTAACGGTGACCGAACAGATAGACCCACAACACCACACACTCGTGGCAATACACAGTGGCACTCATGGCAAGTCCTAAGTTTTTTTTGGTTTGTGGGCCCTGGTGCACAATTACTAGGACAAATGTTGCCATAGATAGTTCATAATACAAATAAGTTACATCCAGATGACAGAGATATATACAAGTGGTGCTGTAGACGCGGGTCAACAACAAACACACAGAATGCCACAGATATCGGACAGACATCTCAATTGCACCCATCAGCGTTATCTTGATATATTGAATAGATACGGTATACATAGGGTAGTCACTAACCCACAAACGCCACAGATATCGACAAAAACGCCATAGATATCGAGAGAGAAAACGCCATAGATATCGACAAAAACGCCATAGATACCGGCAAGCAGGCCACTTACCCCGGCAGCGTTGATCTGGATGGTGTAGTAGCGTAGGTCAGTCATGTATAGCTCGTGTATGGTGGTGGTGATTGAGTTTCGCCACTCATTGCTGATCCATGAGGTGATGAACTGACGGAAGACCTGCGGTCAAACGAATAGTCTGGATGAGTCGGATTTGGTTTACAAGGTCAGACGTATTGGCATATGATTGGGATGTGGGGTAGGTACTGGGGTGTAACAGATAAATGATGTGCTGCGCGTACGGCATTTGTCCACAGTCAGGTGTATTGGCATATGATTGGGATGTGGGCTGAGTACAGTGGTGTCGTCAACGACTGAACTGCTTGGCATATGACACTTGTCGGATATGTCGGATCTGTCTACAACGTCAGACACTGACCCTACTCAGTGAGCTAGGTTACTCGAATAGCGAACCAACTACAAGCTCATCCTGGTCAAATTCACAGGCGACCCTCTGTGTGTGCGGACAAAAAGAGTCCCAAAACTTCGGCAGCAGGTGCATATACACCCTGGACGCACCTTGATGACCGAGATTAAGGACACCCAACCCAAGAGCACAGTGCATCGGTAGATAAAATCGTCCAGGTCATCGTTGATCAAGGCGGTATAGATGTATCCGGGCGCCAGCATTACGTAGTAACCTGCACGTGAACACAGAGGGGCAGACCCGTGTGAGACATTAAGTGCATTCTGCATACACATACACACACACATACATACACGCACATACACAGCATACAGTACAACACACACATACACAGCATACAGTACAACCCAACACACACACAGCACATCCCGACGCAAACAGCTCTGTCCCGTTTCTTTCAGGCATGTACTCACATGCATGCAGGTGTCGTGGATGTGTAAATGCTCCCAACCCTAAAACCCTTACCCCCCCCCCGCCTGATACAGCCAGCTGCACTTCACGTACACCCTAGTTTTGCATGCCCATGAATTTATATATATATATATATATACATATATATATATAAGAATATAACAATAATAATATATATATATATATATCTAACATAGGAATGCACTGAAATTTGGAGCAAACGGTATACCATCTTCATGGCATACATGCATACGCCCACCTGGGCATCCAACTACGCATATGCTATGACTTGCTAGACAGAGATCTTATTTACTACTTAAAAATTGACTATTCGTGCGTATGAAAGGAACGAGTGGATACCGCATTACAATACTACTACAGCACATACTGTGTTAGTTCGCATTCTGATATATATATTCGTTGTATTGCCCACATAAACCTGCATCTCGGCATGTGCACACGCACTTGCACTTTGCTTTTCACACACCCATACACACACCCACACACAGTACATACCAACCCAAATGTACGCCGCAACTGTCACAGGCAGCGTCAGAAACAGCATCCACTCGCGCCAGGAGGTGAGTGCGAGCTGAGACAGATGCCACAGACTCTTGAAGAACCCAACATTCAGCTTAGACAGCAGCACCCCCTCAGGCTCATAGCCCCACCCCTCAGCACCGTACCTACCATCTGCACGCTGGGAGTGTGTGGGGTCAGGCGGGCGGAGATGAGTGAGGTGGTGCATGCGTGTTGGGAGGAGGGTAGAGAAGTCTTAGAGGTACTATGTGGATGTGCGCATGCTTGTGTTTTGCGGATATATGTACATACATACATACACACACATATATATATATATGTATGTATGTATGTACTTGTCTATGTGGGGTGTATGTAAGTTTTTAAGATTGTGTTTTTAACTGGGCACACACACCTACACGTACACAAATGTAGGCTGGTACAGTTAAGTGTCTGGCCAGAAGGAAATAGAGGATGGCGGACAACAAATACATATACGCAGAGATACAGATTGACAGATGTGAATGCAGAAGCGTAAGCTTGATATGTGTGACTGTGTTTGAGTGCGCTTGTTATGTAAACATATGTATAGCACATTCACCTTGGTGTGAAAACACAGGCGGGTGATATAAACACTCCTGCGTTGGATTTGTATTGTGTACAAGTACGGTTTATGAACATCGATCGATTGGCGCATAGCCCAATCTCGGACATTACGATTGCACATGAGAGATTAATGTACGTGCTCGTTTCATAGCTCCAGACATACGTGTATGTGTCACTACTCATATGTTTTCAGAAGGTATGTACACGTACAGGAAGGCTAGCTTTTTACACACACACACACAAACAAGTGTACATGTATAAAAATATATATGCCCAGATGAACCCACACCAATATGGAAGTACTATACGTATGTGTACATGACAAGTGCATACCACCACAGTCACACATCCACAAGTAAACGCAACAACCTGAGACTTCAACAACTCATGCATGACAGGCAATTGGCTGGATACGCAAAAACCCCAGAACCCTAAAAATAAGAAGCATGCAGTGGTCCCGAATTGTCAACCATGCGAAGCAGCACCACTGTAGGTACAGATACATTGCACCAGCGTTAGAACACACCACGCGACTGTACAGTGTAACCGGCATGGTCAGTCAATGGCCGCTGGGGCCACTGAGTACCTACCTGCTGTATGGCGCCGAAGAACGCAGACTTCTTCGCATCCTCCTGTTCATCAATCGTTCCGTAGGTGTTATCCGTTACCATGGAGATGGAAACGGAATTGTCCATCAAGGCCACATCGCTTTCATCATCATCCTACCCCGTTTTAACGCGAGAATAAACGCACAAGTCATATATGAGAACGCGGTATCAAGAGGAAAACGTTACATATGCAGGGATAGATACTGAAGGCACACAGTGTAGGTACGGAAGTATTCACGTTTAATCTGCAATAGTTTCGAAGTGTACTATGTATTTTCAACAGTGTTGGTATTTAGTTGGCTTTCAAAGCATAAACAAGTTTTTAAAACAAACACCGCTGTATGACGCATACACAGCCGAGCTTCGGTCAGGCAGAGCAATTCAAATGAGAAATGCATGTATTATGTGTATATCGTCATAGTCAATAGTTAGTTTATTCAAACTAACTTTACTAAAAGTAGACACACCACCGGACTCCATAGAGCAGATACTTCAGTACAAACATGAATATACCTATTCGTTGATCATATCCGCGGTATTAAAACTTGGCAAATGACCAAAAGTGTAGACAGTAAGCAACCTTAATTTATATCAAGTGATGATGAGACGTACAAATCATCCAATACTACTCGCGTAAACCTATCTTTGGTCAAAATAGCCCTGAATCTCCACCTTACGAGGGAAGGGGGGGGAGTTCCCGCAACAAACTATATGCAGGAAGTATCTCTTTATATATAATGCAGACATACATACATCCATATATATATATATATATATATAAATTTATCGAATTAAATTTCATATTGAGAAATTTTACCTAACATTACCTAACATTAAACAGTGCACACGATCATTCAAAGAGACTGCGAACATGTAGATACTTATACACTCGCACGACAAGTACGAATCTCTAAGCGAGAACACATATTGCACTCACACATAAGAACCTACTTCAGTGCAAACTTTAAAGCCAGAAGTCACAAACTGAGATCGAAAACCACTCATTCACTTGGATATAAACACAATTACCGATCCTGTTGAGGCCTTCCCAGTGCGTCTGGTATCTGTAACGTCCATGATGTATGTGTGATGAAAGGCTAGTACATAAGTTAAACCGCTTGACTGTTTCTCATTTGTTGATGCGAGAAGTAACGGGGATACTCTCGCGTGCTATATAGACACTATAAAAGAGAGGATTCCAACACAAGGAAGTTAATGGATGTAATCAAGAGTGCCTGTATGAAGTATAATGATCAAACAGTATCTGCACAGTACAAGGTCACGCTCACACTATAACATACATATGTATGCTATATTATTCACATCTAAATACCTTCATACGTACACGTTGATGCTACATATACATACACAAAGCCTCTTCATTCCTATTGAATACACAACGTATCCTGGGGCTGGAAGCTCAGATCGTTAAAAAAAACAATGACCCTCTCTCTCTCTAGAGAGAAGAAATAAAATAACATGCCTGATCGAGCTGTTGTCCGAAGAAGAAAAAAACGGTTCAAAATCAATCATACATATTTGCGGTGAAGTATATTTTAAACGTGTATGGCGCTGCTAAATGCGATAGGAATAGATACCTAGAGTTTCTGGTACCACCGGAATTTCCAGCCGTCGTTTATCGTTGAACTTTTTATCCGTTCAAAAAAAGCGTGTTTGCGTTTTCAATCCTGCAAACGTAATGCATCCTGCATAGGCATCGGAGTATTTTTTTTAGGGGTTTTATTCTAATTAGGGCGGCCATGGGGAGCAAAATGGGCTAAAACATATATACATAAGTAAACACAAATGGTGCTCTGGGAGCCTCTATATTTATATATATTTTTAAACAAAACCCGAAAACACCAAATATAGGCTTCCCATCGGATTGGAGAAACTAGAATACTCTAGATACCCATCTGATTGATTTTCTTTTATGTTGCCTTTTCGAGCATTTCTGAAGCATCAATCACCGCCGCACTACACCAAGATCCCAATGTCGCTGTATTTCTTGCCAAATAGAATCCTGCCGCCACTCTCTCATGGTCAACCATCTAATAAATCTGTTTCTGGAACACTCTGTTTACCTTGTAACCCTATTATTAGTCTCTAGCCCTCTCCGTTCACGATTCACCAGAATATGGCGATCTTTCTATCCTATATGTTTTCTGAAATCACAAGCTGAATGGATCCCATATCACTCCAAATTACCACACAGTAGGAAAGTGGAAACTATGAGTAAACAGGTATGTATATTAACTTGTGTAGCTATTAAGACTAAATATGTATCTGCCAAAATTTCGGAGTATCGGTTATGCCGCTGTGTTTTTATTCCATTGTTCCATATTCAGTACTTAATTTCTAACTTGTGCTGGGTCTTGGAGTTTGGACTATAAAGTTGTCTCAAAAGGCATTTACATATTTTCAAAATATAGCTATTCCTCCTCTATTAGGCGTCTGAAAGTTCCGTGTCGATGACACCCCCCAACATCCTATGTTGTTGTATATATGGATGAGTGGTTTTAAATTTTAAGCAGTGTTCATATTAATCGATGGCGGGGTATACGTCTTTGCGGTACAATTTAGTTTGACATCCGACACATCAATGTCAATTAACAAATGCGACACGGGTTGGATAACAAAGAAGGACATCACTTTGCAGTAGTTTTCAATTGCGACAGCGTGATCTCATTTGGATGTAAGTGGATATGAACACCACACAACCTTTCACATCAATTCCAGGAGCACCCGATTATTGAGGCATTGGGTGAAGTAACCAACCAAAATTAATACTCAATTGTATGCGCCGACTTGAAGGATTTTCTATGATCATATTCTCTTCCAGCTTGAAAAATGGTCTTTGGTTTGATGAATACTCGGCACTTCCGACTCGAATAGGTGTGGTAGAAAATGAAGTAATAATGGACAACTTTCAGAAGGAGAATAATCTATGGCCGATTTGTACAACATACAATCGACTTGGAAGTTTAAACACCAACTCGTATTGAACCGATTTAGAAACGTGCACATAATTTGAGAAACAGTCGAGCGTGTTACATACTAAATATCTCGACCCTTGTTTCTTCACTTAATTTCATGAGATCTTATATATTGTACTTTTACCTGGAGAATACTATATGTTGCTCCTACTGTGATTTGAATCGAAAATATATAGATTCTGCTATGGCTCTCATGCTATTTTTCTTTGAGTTGGTCTTGTTTGCTCGTATTTTGTTAGTAGGCGATGGTAAGTGTCTTTGTCCTGCTTCGAGAAACTTCGTCAATACAATTATCGTTGCAGAACAACGGACGACTCTAGGATATGCTTTTGACTACAGCCTGAAAAAAGGTTGCGCATCTTTCAAAGAACCAATATATGAATTCCGAGCCATCGTGGTTGTTTCTACCAATAATTATTCCGCGCATCAGTAGGAAGTAAACACACATTATGAGCTTATACCAAAAAAAAACTGTCTACAAAAAGCTCATTCGTTTTGCACGTGTGGTTTCATATTTTTCTGCTGCAATATGCTACTTGCAGCTAAGACACGAAATTTCTCCTAACTCTAAACAAACTTTCCGACCATACCTACAAAAACTATAATACCGCACTGGTTGAAACCCGTTCATGATGATAGCTACACTAAGCATAACCATCGTTACGTTCTCCGACTACCAATATATGCTGTTTACGCTTTGGGGTCTGAGTTTCTTTTTCTAAAAGGATTGTGTGCATAGTCATAGCCTGCTAAATTAAATGAGATCAGGCTATGACATAGTGCCGTGTGCACTGATATTATAAATATGCACATGTTTTTCTAACATACTATTATTCTTCTTCTTCATAGCCTTCTTGTTTGATTTCAGAAGGCTATGTCTTCTTTCTATTTGTTATTATTCTAAAAATACACGCATACACGTGCATTAAAATTAAATATATATTATATGTATGTATGTATCCGAGTTGACATATGTACTACAATACGACCGTGTACAGCATAATTAAGTACACTATATTTAGCACCAAAAAAGGATGAAGCCCGGCCTGATGAGGTCCTGTGCTGCATTGCCTCCGAGTGTCAGTGGCCGAGAAACTGATGAATCCCTGACTGTCTGAAATAAGGTGTAACGTGAAGGCCTGAGCTGGACTGAGCCTCTGAGGTCCGAGGAACAGCCGACTCCAGGAACTACTTGACAATATCATTTTTTTAATCAATTTATGGAGAACAAAAATGAAAAGCCAGAGGAAAAAATGGTGGAATATAATCCTATTGGTTATTCAATTAGCAACCGCTTGCGCTCATAATATTCATTGGTCCAATTTAAAACTTGTTTTTTTGCTTTATCATACAGAGATGGTGAAATTTGATGTACAAGTATTACACAGTGAAATTCGATATATAACACACATATGTATGAGTCATATTTATGTATATTGTACAGTATGGAACAGATATAGAACAATAACCAGATGAGTACATTGTCATACAGTTGTTGTGCATCAAACATAGCTCGTATTATAAAGTATACCCCTATCAAAAGTGGACGAGCAACACATCTCATCGAACATAGTACTCCCTACATATAGTGTTGTATATTGCCACTTATTCGAGACCGTGCCACGCACATACGATAGAGGTACTGGCCGACACACCGAACACCGTATTGTTCTTCTTCTAGGAAAAAAAGAGAGAAAGTTAGATGTACCCTTTCACATCCACATAATTTCATAGTATCCTTCCAATTTCGTTCAAACCCAGTCAGAGATAGAGAATGGGGAGATATGCGTTGCCAGACGGCTACTTAGGCAGTTGCATTGAATCCATTGGAAGTATATGGTTCATTATCCTCGGAAATGTGATTGAATGGTTCGAGTTGAGCTCGTTCGGGTTTCTCGCCCCACAATTAGACGAGAATCTCTTCCATGGTAACAGTGCGGCGATGTGGGCAGCCTTTGCGGTGTCGTTCATCGCACGACCTTTGGGAGCCACGTGCTTCGGTTGGATTAGTGATAAGGTAGGTAGAAGACTCAGTGTTGTACTCTCATTGGCTGGTCTAGTCGTGGGCACCGTGGGCCAGGGAATGCTTCCCACGTACACGTGTTGTGGGGATGGGGGAGGTCATACTGGAGTGGTTCTACTGATTATACTCAGGATTGTACTTGGGTTTTGTGTGGGTGGCGAAATAGCTGGAGTAAGCGTATACTTAGCAGAGTACAAGGACCAGTCGGTGTTGGGCACGATGAGTGCCTCCATCAGCGTAGGGGCCAGTCTAGGGTTTGCGTTATCTACAGCCTTGATTAGTGCGCTCTTACACACACTGACAGAGGAGGAGATGATGCTGTGGGGCTGGAGAATACCCTTCCTCATAACAATCGTACCAGGAGCGATCAGTTTAGTGCTCAGGTGGACACACATTAAGGAAACTCATGAGGTGCTGCGAGCGGGTTTTATTTCAGGCCATAACTCTGACGTGGATTTAGATGAAGATGGGAGTCTGAATGATGATCTGTCCCATTGTTCTGGTGATGGTAGCGCGGGCAGTGTTAACAGCGACGACAGACTAATTGAACAAGAAATGACAAAGAAAGAAGTGAAAAAGCTCATGGGATCAGATGTATTAGCATCGCTACAGTATCTTCCAGAGGACATAGAGCGAGATAGGAAGCACCGTATCCACGAAGATGACAGCCTGTATGGTCATCTTTTCCCGTTGTTTGCACTTCTGCGCCACTACCCTGTGCGGTTTATGCTTGGCTTTTTCGGGGTGGCCGCTTGCGCGATGGGGTGGTACATCGGCAGTATATACGTAGTCTCCTACGTACAGAAGTTCCAGAAAGTGTCAAATCAAGATGCAATGCTCATGGGACTGATCAATAGTTCCATGTCAGTGGTGTTCACACCTATCGGCGGGTTCCTTGCAGATGCCATAGGGGTGGGCAAGACACACGTGCTGTCCACGCTACTTCTGTTCCTCATTTGCATCCCCTTCTGGGCCGTGCTGGTGCTGGTAGAAGACAACCGTACCGTATACTTCATAGCCTTCGCTGTCTACGGGGCCATACAAGGGATATGTTGTGCAGTTCCCTTCCTGTACGTAGCAGAGCTGTTCCCCAAGTCTCTGCGTGCGTCTGGGTTCTTATCCTATAACCTGGGCATTGCGATCTTTGGGGGCCTGTCGCCACTCTTGTGCGAAGTACTGGCGCTTCGTATCACATACGGGCCCATGGTATACCAAGCCGGCATTTCTCTGGTGGCGCTGGGCTTCGTAGGGGCTGCACACTACGCGCACGCAGCGGGTGCGTGGAAGCTGCCCAACATACGAATGAACCCCTTTTAACGTAGGCATCATATTTATTGTTTTATTAAACTTACGAAAGTCTGACAGCCTGTACATACCACGGCGCCACATGATCGTGGCTGTACCGAGCTTTTGAGAAGCTTCGAGATGAGAGGAATGTAGATCGAAGAGTGGAAACCCCCTGTTCTAATACGGCAAAACCCAATGACGCTTAACATGGCAAACCCCAGCTGATCGAGAGCCACGCATTGCAGCGATGAAAATAAGATTCTATGAAGAAAAGGAGCGTCGATGGAGATTTGCTGAATGTACACTGTTCAGATAGTGCTTATGAAGCGGAGGGTTTGTTGCACCGTCTCCCAGTACACTAGCAGTACAAGGGCAACACTGTGAGCCATGGCATGCTTGAGGTAGGTAGATTCGCACAGCTGTAGCACACCCAAGGGGACGGGAGTATATAACAGCCCTGATAGTATAGAGACCTTCACAGAGTAGGATTATACTAGGCTGTGAACTCGTATGATGTCGAACAAATATGGGCGAGAGCCACACCGGATTTACCAAGAAGCGTTATCTGGCGCAAAACTGAGCACTTAAGGTTAACCCTAAACTCTAAAACCCGTGGAAGGATATGGGCTCACGGGTATGGGATAGAACACTTTGAGTATATGTATTACAGTACACACATCCAACGCCATCACACTACACGCCAAATAAAGGAATAACTGGCGAACGATTAAAGGCACAACCGTTATAGAATATGTATATATATATATCAACTAATGTGATGTTTACAGTTTAAGGCAGGATGAAAACGACTGTCGTTGTGAATGGCATCTAATGTCTCATGCACACTGCAAACAAGAAGTGATTCTGGCGTTCTATGTAGAGCGTTTAAAGGCCACACTCATATCAACATTAAAGACGCCTGCTATCTAACCATACTGCGAGTCTGCAACACCCCAGCAGATTTCCGCGGGCTACTGTAGTGATAGGTACTAAACGTTTGACGCATGCGTATGCAAATACCTAAAGCACGACTGCGAATATATTATTTAAGGCGGATAAGGCTTTTTATGCATTCGTGCTCTTGCTATTGAAAGCATCTACTGCTGTGCTAGTCCGCTGTTTTTCGTCTCTTGTTTGCGCTGTGCTCCTGTCGTTTCTCCTCCTTGCCCACCGTTCGGAAACTGCAGGGGGGGGGGGGGTATGTGGTGATGAGTCATGCAAGTGTGGCTACAACGAGCTACGCATATGTCAACATATGATACTACCACAAACATAGGCATTCGTATGTTGCAGTGGTGTTTGCGCCACCGCTGTAGTACGAATTACTGGCAATTATATACATCAGAAGCTAAACCCTAAACCAAATGTGTGTATAAATCAATGGGAAAGGCACTGAACCCAGTTGAAAGTGCCGCCGCAGGTACAATAGACACAATAGACACCGTGCTAATGCAAAACTTTCGATCACAAAGATATATCTTGAGGATGTGTATGGTATATGTGTGTATAGAGATAATCGCCTGACAGAAGGCACATGTGCACACGCATTTATGACTCGTGCCCATCCTATGCCGGTCAAAGCGTGTGCAGTGTGGGTGTTCTTATTACATTAATAGGTGCGAATGATGTCCTTGGACATACATACTGCATGAGATTGTGATATTCAGTATAGAAATTGCCATCCATTACAAACCCAAGCCAAGAGGTCTAAGATAAACTAGCTCCATAATAAGACGAACCCAACCCAAACACGTGCCACGCGTATGCGCCACACAATGCACCCGTTATAACATACTGTCTCTTCTTCTCATCTTTCTCCCGCGCAGCGCGTTTCTGTGCGTGTAGGGCCTCTGCCTTCGCCTTCTTCGCCTTTCTCTCGTCTGTGACAGGGCAGAGATAATAAGCGTGGGGTTAGAACTACGAGTACCCATACCGTACTATGCGCTCATGACTATGCATACTCGTACCGGTAGGGAGCCACTTCATAAGCAGGTTGCTTTGGGACAGAACGGGCCCTCCGGCAGACAGATATAGGTGCAGCTGAATCGGCACGCATCCACGCGCAGATACACACAATAGCAAAGGTGCACGCACACGCACGACTACATATGGGAAGCCAAGGATATCATACTAGGATATCATATATACATACTAAGATATCATATATACATAATAGGCATGGTATCGGTTGACTTTCCGGGCTAAGATCACCAACACACACCTGGGATACGGTTCCATGTCTATAATAAAGTGTGAGGTATCTCGTATTTTGTGCTCACAAATACAGACATGCATACATGTCTATACACAGACGCTTATAGCCTTGCACAGACTCTCAACACCGTATACAGTGAATACTGCCGCACAACACACACACACATCAGTAGGCCACACGCTGTATTAAAAGGCTCACATCGCACACTCAAGCATTTAGACGTGCAAGTCATTCCTTTGATCTCAACCTCTCTCCCCTATCCCACCCACCGTATGACACTATGACTCAGATGTACACAGCACGCGTAGCACAAGGCAAGGGATATCACGCACCAGACAGGCAACCACACCAACCACGCACACCACCACAGTCCCCACACTGGTAGATAAACGTACCGTTCTTGCCCTTCTTGGTCAGATTCTTATCGTTGCGTATGGTATTGATCTGCTGCATGAGCTTGTATACGCGTTTCTCCGCCGGCTCCATGACAACTGCATGTGAGATGAACGGATTGGCCTTCTTCTTCTTCAACTGGAGTGGCAATAGGTGATGGGAACACGTAGTATGGATCAGTCTTAAGACTACACATCCTGTATGCGGATGAAGATGGATACGTATCGCATCGTACATCCTTGAAGGGGGTGCCAATGAACCCCATAGCAGAGACAAACGCGTGAGGTGAAGGTAGATACACAGGCACATGCACGTAGACGGTGTGTAGGGCGAGTCTCCTGTCGTCAGTGATTGGCTTGCACTTAGAGAGTCTGAAACAGCCAGTTCATAATACAATCACACGAAGCACACAACCGCCTACAGACAGAGACACATACACAGACATATATATATTTAGACACACACACACGCACACAGACAGACATAGAGAGACACACACAGACACAAACACAGCCACAGAGAGACACACACAGACACAGACACAGACAGACCGTCTGCGAAGACAGTGGTTGCTACATACCGCGTTCTTCTTATTGTTCGCACTCTTCTTGACTAGCAGCTTAGGCTTCGACGCAAAGGGCAGGTCAGCCTGCAATGCCTTGGGGATCTTGAGCGGATTGAACTTGCGCGTCTCTCGCTCGATCTTGGTGTATTCCGAATCCTTATTGACAGGCACGGGAATCTGTGCGTCTCGGCGCATTTGCCCTACCGTGCGCATGATGGGCTGTGTGGAGGTTTACGGATCAGAGGTACAGGAGGGATGGAGTGTGAGCTGCAAGTGAAAAAGACAGGTGATGCGTATAGGTCCAAGGATCAGAGGCAGAGAAGGAATGGAGTGTGGGAAGGGTGAGGATAGAGCGACTATGCTGGAAGGGAACAAGACATGTGATGTGTCTGTACGTGCTACAACAATTGCAGAGCTACTAGTACTAAGGCAATGACGACATTCAGTGAAAGCGTGCGAACATTATCAGTGACACAGACAACTCACACAGACAAGGCGTTACTCGACAGGCAGGCTCAAGCGGATAAGATACATTTGTCCCATCTTTAAGAGATTTATGACTGTGGCTAAGCTGAGGGAAATAATGGTGCAAGGTGCCAGACGGTCCTAATGATAGGTCACAGGTGCAGGTGAACCGAGATATGCCATACACACACTTGCAACAGGATAACACCGTCAAGCGCACAAGCCCAACAGCACGTTTATGGATGGGATAAAGTGTGTCTCTCCCACGCACACGTGAGGACGAACCACACCACAGTACAACATATTACAATAGACACGCCTGTACATACACTACTGGTCATGGGAGTACCAAAGGCATATATGTGTATAAACAAAACTAAACACACGCACACGCACGAGCGTGTGCGTGTGCGTGTGCGACAACACGAGTGCTGTGTTTAATACACACCACAACACAGCAATACATATACACCTGTCTGTGAGCAAATACATACCATGTCTTCTGTCCCGCCCTTCTCCACAGACAGCAACGAAGTCATGGGGTTGTAGTACTTGATCGGCTGCACAGGGTACCAGCATCGCAGGAACACTATGTCGCTCATCAGAATCTTGTCCTCGAAAGTGGCCCTGTACGCTCCCGGGGGCATCCCCTGGCCCTTCATCGCCTTCTTCACACTGCCCCGAATACCACTCACGGTCCGTATACTGGCGCCCAGAAACTTCTGTATCTCTAGGTCGGAGCTGAACATGTCCTTGATAAATGCGGTGTTCTTATATATCTTGGTGGGTGTTCCGGTGAGTTTCAGCTTCTTCACCACCTCGAAGCTCTGGTCCAATTCCAGCACCACACCCGTGGCCGCTATCCTGAACCCGGGTGCATCGCGCGAGGGTTTTTGTATGGCCAAAAATCCGGTGTTCGGGGGCGTGAGCGGTCCCCAAAACAGGGCATTGCAGTGCATGTGGTGAGGGGTGTACTTGAGCAGGCGGTTGCGTTTGTTGTGATCTTGTATACTGTATTGCACGGTGGTCTGGAACCTTCGCCAGCCCATACTGATAATCAGTGGATCGTTGTTCTTGAGGATTTTCTTGTGCCACCGGTGCTTCTTCACGCGCGTGTGTACAAACCCCAGGTTCTCTTCGTTGCTAAGCAACGCCCCCATAATCAACGGATAGCAGGGGTTGAAGTTCTGCACAAACTGGTACGGTATCTTCACCAGCTCTACGCGCACATACATCCCCGGCCTGTAACCTTCAAACTGCACCCGCACCTCATCGCTCTCATTCGCAAACTCAGCCCTGTTCAGAGCGCTCTGCTCGGCGATGCCCTTCTTCATCTCGTCAAAGAACTCTGTGTTGTCTTTGGTATCGTACTCCTTGTCAAACATGGCCTTCTTCTTCTTCTTAATCTCTTCCAGACGGCGCATTTTGGCGGTTTTGCTGAGTTCACTCACCCGATCGCCCGTTTCCATGGCACTCCCGTCGTCAAGGACAACGTCACCGTCTTCATCGTCTGAGCAATGTACAGCCATTGTATGTATTGTTGAGTGACTTAATATAATGATACATACAAGCCGGAAACAATATCCAACAACCCCCCTCCCCTCCCATCCACACACACACACCCTCACCTGCATCCTCGTCTCCACTCTCCCCTTCATTGCCCAGCCCATGCCGCACACCCGTCTCAAGATCTTCAAAGTCGCCGAACAGTTCGTCGCCATCCTTCACCTCCATGCCTCGGTCTAACGCGTCCTGTCGGCGTTGCTCCTCGTCGTCTTTCGCTAATTGCGTCTCTGCGTCAACATCCTCCGCCCACGTGCCAGTGACAAAGCGGTTGCGGATGAGCTCCTGCGACGTATGTGTGTGTGTGTGCGGATGGGAGGCGCGGGGGGGGGGGAGGTTTCAGAGCGTGAGTGTGTGCAGGTCTTGAGAAAAAAAATTTAAGTGTGGAGGGATGTTGACTGTCTATAAGTTTGGCTAGGCTCGCCACCTACTTCCAAATATGTGATACTCGGAAATTCGGTAGGTATGGTGATGCCGATACGGGCTCCCTCACACTGCCCCAGACCATACGACGCTTTCAGGGGTTTGAAGGTGCAGAGTCAACGGGACTAGTGCAGGACGGAATAACCGGATGAGAGGCTATGCGTCTACTATCATTGGCTGATCATGACCATAAATTCATATAGGAGTGTTTGCCTACACGTACATCAGCTCAAGCATTAGACAGGCTATCACATGCACAAACAACATATGAGGTATATCACTTGTATGGCGTCTTGTACAACCCAGTTGTTAAGACTCGGCAACGAACGGTTCGCACTACCTTACACACATACATACATATCTATATATACATACATATGGCCTCATATACACATTACTACGTAAGCACATACACTTACATATACATACGTTGAGAATATATATCAACGCCCTGCATACCTGAGCACCTTCCGAGTACCAATCGTGCCTGAACTCTGCGGGTAGCCTGTGTTTTGTGGCGTCAAACATGTTGATTCCACTGTGTCCCGTATCCTTCTTCTTCAGATGGAATATACCACTCTCAGCAACCTCTTCTTGGTCCGCCTTTGCACTCGACTCCGCCTCCTCGTTGTCATGGTTACCGTTCCCCCCTTTGCCGTACACAAGGGTCATGATATTCTTGCTACGCCTAGCTTTAAAGCTCTCCGCGGCCTTGAGCGCCAGGTCCTCCTTCCACCTCAGCGACGGGTGAGTCTCGTCCACACCCACACTCTCCACAGACTCACCCACAGAAGCACCCAACCCCTTCTTCCCTTTCCCCTGGGCCGTGACTGCATGCTTCGTCCCTGTCGCCTGCAGAGCCCCCTCATCAGCACTGTCACTGTCGCCGTCACTGTCACCGCCAGCATCGCTCGCCTCACTCTCCTGCATATCTGAGTCCATCTCCTCACTATCACTGCCGCTGCCACTGCTAGCCTCTTCAGAGCCACTGGCCACTCTGTCTATCTCAGCCACGTACGAGTCTTCGTCTTCGCTCTGGTCGTCGTCCGTTGCGTTCATCTGCCCTTCTCCCATGTCACTATCACTCTCTGCAAACTCCACACTCTCCTCCTCTGTCTCTCCATCCAGCTCCGACACCTTGCCACCGTGCTTGGCCCCCTTTTTGGCACCCCCATTCAGCATATCTGCCCCCTCCTCATCCTCTGCATTGCTGTCGTCCTCCGAGTCACTGCCACTGCCGCCGTCACTGTCACTATCCGCTTCATCGTCAAACACTGCGCGACGCCTTCTGCGGCCATCCACCACTTCACTTCTCTCGGACGGTTGCTTGCGCGTGCTTGCTTTCCCTTGCGCACCCCCTACCCCTTCGTCCTCACTCTCGCCTAGGCCCATATCTTGACCCTCGGCCTTGTCGGTTTGACTCTGCACAAAGTCGCCCGATTTGATCACCGCACCTCCGGAGAAAAACCTTAGACCAGCCGACGTCTGCATCTCATCCAGCCCCTTGGGCATGTCAATCAACGTGTCAACCATTTTAACACCCGGAAGTTCGGTCACATCCTGTGCTGCGTCACCCTCCGACGAACCAATCAGATTCGACTCCTCCGAGACCTTGATTTTTGATTGGTCAGCGGCATCCACCGCATCCCTGTTGCGTATGAAGTTGCCCATGTCGATGTAGGTAGCGTCTTTGTCGTACACTATATCGCCTATATCGGCCATGGGCGCGTACAGCAATCGCTCCTTCTCATCCAGCGTGCGCTTTTTCTTCTGTGTGGGCAGGGGGCATGGATCCGCCAAGAACGACATGTTCTCCATGTACATATCACCCATGCCTGGTATGTGTATCTTGTGGTGTGCCTTGAGGTGCGTGCCTCGCACATAGCCATACACAGCCACCGTCCGGTCGCACTTGGGGTTGACGCGTTTCTCCTCCGGGTTAGTGATGTCTTCCATTCGGTCCGCAAGCACGTATCCGTGCGTGTTGCGCCAGGTCATGGGCCTGAACTTCATGACAGATATGAAACGGGACAGGTTCATGATCTCCGTCTGTGTGTAGCGCTGCCCGATCATACCCGATAGATAGAACAGCTTGGCTCCCTGGTAGATTTCGGTCCAAAACCTGTTTTTGAGGCGTTTCTTGGTTTTGCGGAGCACCTTGTTGTTCTTAAACAGGTCCAGATGGGTCAGCACACCCATAATCCGGGGCATCCCGTGCACTTGGCAGATATTTAGGAACTCGAACGTCTCCATTTCGAAGCCATAACTCGCATCGATCAGCAGAAGCACCAGGTCTGCGACCTTTGCGATGTCGACCATGCTATTTATATCATTGGCGCACTCCATGAATGTCAGGCGCCGTTTCTTACCTACCAAATAGTGAGTGGGCGGGGGGGGACGAGTAAATGATACGCTAGTGAGATGGTGTACTACGGTGGTACAACACAAACATACGAACATCAATATATGCACGAGCGGAAATACAGTGGTCAACACATACAAGGTGATAAACTAACGAGACAGCGAGCTTAGGCATACCCAACACGTTTACAGATATATATATATATAACAGTGTGGCACTTGTGTTGCATATGTAGTATCCGAGCAAGATTGTATGCACGCAAACACTTCTAGGGACAGTCACCACAGCAATGATACAGAGATCCTCACGCAATCACATGTCACGGATAGGCAACACACACACGACTTGTCAACCAAGCGCAGTACACACAGACGACGAATCCCCAACACACACTTGAGATAAAGACATACACAACTAAATGTACTAGAGATGCACTTGATGGGTCAATGCGATTAACACACTAACACACTGGAACATTGACGTGGAGCCCCCTCATCCTAAACATGAGCCAACAAACTCATCCGAAATATACTCATAAGCAGCGGCAGCGTGGACGCTCACCTGGTGCAAAAGCCTTCAGGCTGTGTTAAACATATCCACAGAGAAGGTACGAGTACAACCGACAAGTACACACACACACACACCTCTAACAGGGCTGCCACCATAGCACCTGAAGTGATTGTGACGAGCACATACACCAACAGTACGACTGTGCCGTGGAACAGCCCACACCCAGAAGACTCTGGACACGCACAACCAAGCCACGTATATGATATAACACACCCAGAAGTCTCTGGGCACGCACAGCCAAGCTATGTATATAATATAACACACCCGTCACACACCCGAAATGAGCGCAAAATCACGCACCCGATATGAACGCAAAATTCACACACCCGGAAACACAATTAGGGCCGTGTACCGGAATTAAGTGTAAAGTGCCAATCCGGATAAGAGCCAAAAATTCACACTCCTAAAATAAAAATACAATCAGCCACACCCACTATCGGTGTACTGACACACCCGCGGAAAAAAATTCGTTCCGAAATGATGTAATGTGCCACTCCGGATGAAAGCCAAAACTTCACACACCTAAAATAAAAACACAAACAGCCACACGCACCATCAGAGCACTAACACACACCCGATATCAGCGTGACGGGGCCTTTGATCTCGCCATTGATATTCTGGCGTGTGTAACGCTTGACAAGCGACTTGATAAGTGTTGTCTTGCCCACCTTAGGAGGACCAACAACAGCCACAACATACGGAGGAGGCTCGTCAACGTTCCTGTCAGCCATCACAATGTGATGTTTTTTGGTCTCCAAGTCATTGCGACGTCGGAGATTCTTGTGCGCATTGACGGAGGAGGCGTTGATGAACGCCTGTATAGGGTTGTAGGGATAGGACAGGGTATGCAGGTGAGAATATTATATATATATATATATATATATATGTGTGTGTGTGTGTGTGTGTTGTGTGCATGTATATATATATATATATATATATAATANATATATATATATATATATATATATAGTGTGTGTGTGTTATATATATATTATACTTACTA